TAGCTTGGCTTTTTAATAAGATCGCTCAATAAAATTAAGTTATAATATATGTATGTATAAAAACGAGCAGAAAAAGTCTGCGTACGAGCTCCCAGAAATGTACTCTCAGTTGTGTCTGTAGAAACTAAATGTTACATAACATTGATTTAAAGTCAGAAATACTGCGCCAAAATGATTTTTGAAATTGGCAGTCAAAAATAATTTAAAAATTTTTAACATGAGCTGATAGTCAAAAGTGTAAAAGTGAATCCAAGATTGGCGGCTTTTGAAATTGCAAAAAATATTAAATTTAAATTTAAAAAAAGCATTTGCACTAATACTGTGCCCAAAATTCTCAAAAAAGCTGCTTATTAAGGCCGAGTGGTACGTAGAAAGCCATTAATATATAGAGCAAATTGTTTAAAACATATAGAATTCGGGAAAAGATATATTAATAAATAGAGTAAATTGTTTAAAACATACAGAATTCGTGAAAAGGTATATTAATAAGCCCCTTAGCTCCTAGGAGAAAGTTGTATTTTTGGATGAAAGTAAATTTTGCATTTTTGGAATCAAAGGACGTCAGTTGGTGTGGTGGAAATATTTTAGCGCGCTTAAGAAAAGAAATTTACTTTCAACAGTAAAACATTTGACAGACGCAGTAATAATTTGGGGATGTATGTATATGAGCTAGTGGTGTAGGATTCTTAAAGTTTATAGAATCAATTATGAAAAAAGAGGATTATTTAGATATTTTAAAAGAAAATTTAAAGAATAGTGTTGAGAAATTAGAACTTCAGACAGAACATTGCTTTCATCATGATAATGACCCTAAGCATACCGCTGAAATTATGAAGCTGTGGCTATTGTATAATGTCAGAAAGCAGTTGCATACATCGCCCCAATCTCCTCAACCTCAATTCAATAGAATATTTATTGGATTTGATAGAGCGTAAAATCCGTAAACGAACCATAAAAGTTCTAAAAAAAATGTCGAAAGATGTTATAACAAAAGAATGGTCAAAATCTTAATTGAAGAAACTTCAAAACTGGTTCATGTCATGCCCAAAAAGGCTACGAGAAGTTTTAGGAAGAAAAGGCTACAAAACTTCATACTAATATTCTGAATTTAGTCACATTGGTTTAAAAATTCATATGCTGTACGCAGACTTTTTCTGCTCGTTTTTCGTATGAAATTTTGTTTTTGTTTGTTTTTTTTTTTTTTTTTTGTAAATTAAAGTGTTATATATTATAAGTTTAAATACTATAAAAATCATTAAAAAAAATTGAAATTTCCAAACAATATAATTGATCTTTTTTTAATGCAAAATATGTAGGAACGCTCAGTGGACGCAGACTTTTGGTAAATTCTTAAACGTCAAATTTTACAAAATCTGAGTTGTCTGAGTTTACGGATACTCTACTACGTTTTTACTCTCAGTCAAAGTTTAAATTCTTAAACGTTTAAAAAAGTCAATTAATCGTCAAAATTGTAGATTTTTTTTTTTACATGCAGACAGTCTGACGTAGTAATTCAGTAAATAAATTTGATGTGTTGAGTGACTATCATTACGTTAAAAATAATATAAAAAATATTTTTATTGTTAATTTTTAATATGTAAGTATAAAATTATTTTAAATCTAAAAAAAAATTTTTTTTTGTTTTGACGTTTACGGATGATCAAAATTCAAAGTCAATTACGGGTAAAAAGTTTACTAGATTTCTGTCCGTAAAAGTTTTAGTTTCAGACAGTTTGCAGACTAAAATCAAAATTTTGACGTTAAAGAATTTGCGGTTTTTCTACCTACTTATGTATTTATGTTTACATAAAAGTTTTTTTGTGTTATTTTTCTAATTTGGAATGCATAGAAAAAACTAAAATACACACATAAATAATGTATATATGTATATTTTATATGTTTTTAAATCAAAACTACTAAATTGACACCAAGAGTTAAGAAATTTCACAACATAGAATGCCAAAAATTCATTAAAATAAAAAAAATCCAAAAATGAAGAGCTTCAAAAGAAATAGTTGAAGGTGTAATAAGGATTATTTCATTATCAGTTAAATATGCAATAATTCACTTTTTTTTAAATACTACTACTTATGTACATCCATTAATACATACAAAATGTTTTATCTAAAGTTGGTCCTGGTTTTATTTGTTTTTTTTTTTTTTTTGAATATAAAGAGAATAAATTTGAATTCCTAATTCGTTTATTTCTTTGATTTGAGACGTTTTGCCTTTTCGCCACAGATATAATAAAAATATACAGACATTATATGCATACATATGTGTGTACTTATGTGTATATGCACAATGTATTATAAAAATGTCAATATTTTCAACTATATGTATTGCACATATAATTCATATGTATTTAAGTACATGAAATAAGTACGATCAGAATGTAAGATATATGTACAATGTTCAGTAATAATTGTTTAATGTGTAAAACAACACAAAATTTATTAAAATATTTTCGTATTTTGTACCTTTCGCGATTTTGAAAGCAATTTTATAATTTGATTTTTGTTTAATCACTTTATATCATATCTCAAGCAGAGAAATTGTTTAACCTGTACAAATACATATACACACATGTATTCTAGCACCAAATTGTACGTAATACCTACTTATACCATTTAGTAGTTTATTTATAAGATTCTAGATATAGTTAGAAATTCTTTGGTATTAATTTACATATATTTGAGTTATTTCGTAAAAACAATAACTGAGAATAAATATATGTATGTACATATGTATACCAGTACACAACTTATTTTAAGTGGTGAATAAAATTTATGAACTAACACAAATAAAACGAGTTTAAACACTTTCATATGTACATACATGCACATATTATCAGTTAAGGAAGAAATGTGTAGCAGAAAAAGTGTGGAAAAAACAAAATACGTACATACATATATGCATACATATGAAAAATAATTTTTAAAAATATTTCTGTGGTTCTGAAATTTTAAACAAAATTGTTCGTTATATGAGTAAAGTAATAGTTTATGAGGCTAATATTGATAGTATTCTGCCATCTTTATTTATGAAGATCATTTTAAGTTTTGAAGAATGTGAATTTGGAAAAATGTATGTTCACATGTATACGCACACACATATGAATGTAACTATTTATGTATATATATACATATTCTTATCGTTCTCGGCTTAACAAAAACATAACGTGACGAGATAGGTATTTATTGTTTCTTAGTTTATAAAAAAAAAATTAAGCATAATAAAACAAGTAAGAAACTTAAACTATCAATATTGTCATCTTCATACACGTACTGCTTGTATTATTTGCTTGCGAGCAAGCTTATGTCGCAACTGGCACAACTGATTTTTGAAAAATGTTGTTTATGTATTATTAGGTACATATGTATTTTTTAATATTTTTAAAATTTCCAAATTATTTGCATAACAAAAATAATGGTTATAAAAAAGAAAGAGTAAATATTAGTTTTATCATCGTATGTATTACATGCTTGCAATCATGTTTAAGTTTTTCGTTTTTTTTTTCAATTCCATATTTTATTAATATGTATTTTTATTCTGTGAAAGTTCTTAAATGTTTGCGATTATTTTAAAACTAAATGTACAAAGAGCAATTGCTTTATTCTGTATTCTTTAATTTATTTGAGTAAATATAAAACTCCGCACACACACTTACATATTTTCCATTTTTCACTGGCTAGTAGATACTTAACATAATATTGAATTCCATTCCATGTTTTGTTTGCCAAAAAGAATACAGTTGTGTGAATAAAGGTAGATGTGTATATGTTTGATGAAAGTACATATGTATATGTTTTATTTTGTTTTAACAATGTGATACTTAGATAGATAGGCATAAAAATATTAGAAATGTTGAATAATAAAAGTGTGTAATTTTATATTATACATATATTAACATATATGTAATTTTTCTTATATAAATAGCAAAAATTTTATTAGTACAACTTATTAATAAATTATATAATTGTGTCATATAATTATATTTGCATTAATATGTACATACATATTGCATTAATATGTACATACAGGCATATATATGAAAAATTTCAAAAGCATAAATTTTTTGTTCTAAATATACCCAAAAAAAATCTTTTTAAATAAAAATTGCTTCAACAACGAAAAGTTAAAACCAAGTATAAATAAATATGTATATACCTTACAAATGTATTGCAGCATGCCAATAATTCTGCAAAATATATGTATACGTACATGGCTTTGAAAATACCATAGAATAGAGTAATAAGAACCCTCACTAACACTATATTCTCTCAGGTAGTTTAAAAAAAAATAATTATTTCTCTTTTCTTAAACTAAATTTTGTGCGCTGAGTGATAATTAATCAAACATAGCAATAAGCATATAAAATACACATACAAGTATACACATTCACAAAATTTGTTCTACTTCTACGTTAAAACAAACTTTACACTAATGTATTGTAGAATTTCTATCACGACATGATTGAAAGATCGTTTGCACACAAACATATTTAAATATCGTCCAAATGGTTAGTGATTAGAGTAGAAAAATAAATGTGAGAAACTCACCATACATCGTAGTATAAAAGTATAAGCTATAGTAATAAACTAAATTACATTAAAATTTGATATAGGCTTCATTCTTATTTATTGAATAAAACTATTTGAAATATTTTTTCTCATTTTAGTGTTTAATAAACGTTCCTAATGAGAGCAATATACGGTTGTGTCTCGTTAAATTAAAATTTATTACTAATTATTAAATTTTGTTGAAATTTTTTATTTTTCAAGGGAATGTATTAAATATGAAAATAGCATTATTTTAAAATATCAAAGTAAATGAATTGGGATAAAGTTAACATAAAATATTTTAATACATACATGTATATGAATTGACGTTTTTCGTTAAAATAATTTTAATTAGAAAATTTTTATATACATATGTACATCCATATGTAACTAAATTTTTATATGTAAAAATCTATAATTTTAAGTTAATCATTTAAGCTTTTTGCAAATATTCCATATGAAACGTCGACGATTAAAAGAGCTTTTTCGTACACACTGACTGTTTTTTTTTGTTATTTTTTTTTTGTGCTCTACCTAACTATTTTTACAATTTTTTACTTTATGTTTGTTACTTAAAATAAAAATAATTTCAAAAAATTTAAGTACCTAGGTACCCAAGTGAACAAAATATTTTAAAAACAGTGTTTAACATCAAACTACAGCCAAAAGACAAATTTGATATTTCAATAAGTGTTATTAAATAATTTTATTTCAAAAGTGGAACTAGCTTTCGTATAAAAAAATCTGGAAATTATTTACGTTTTTAAGAGATAAAAAGAAAAGGTTTTTAACAAAACAAATTTTTTACATACATAATTTAATTGAAGTAGTTGTTGATTAGTTTCAAATATAAATATTAAAAATGACATCAGAATTGGACCAATTTGCGGATCTTGAACTTTCTAAAGAAGATCGTGAACAAATTTTTGATCCTCCATCAGATCGACCGACTCAGGAAACTTCTTCAAGGTAGATAAAATTCTTGAATATTATTCTGTTGTAAAATTAATATGTATATACGTATGTATGTATTTATATAAAAAATACAATGCTTATTTAGATATGTAATATACTAATAAAGAAGTTGTGTATTAGTAAGCTTTGAGAGCATTGTACAAATATATATAAGTATATATGTAATATATATTCCGTATAATATATATATATATATATATATATAAATGTAAACTAAAATAAATATATGTATATCTATTTATATGTGATGGGCGACCACACATGTGTGCAAACAAATTTAAGCATAAGTAACGCAACTTAAAAAATAATATAATTGATGCTATATTTTAAAAAAAATGATTAACCACCATATTTGGATCTACATTATACGTTTACGACTATGTATCCATGTATATTTCTTAATTTTAATTTATATACATTCATATGTACATATTTTGCAAACCAACCGAAGAAATCTACACGAAAGAAATAATATTCAAAGAATATTTTAGATAAAAGTTTTCTATATTTATCATTAACCTCGTTCTTACGTTCCAAATCACTATAAAAGCAAACCGCATACATAATTTTGTTTAGTAATATACACATGCGTGTGAATATGTTGGATACATTTGCATTATTATATAATTTATGTGTAACATGTAAGTAATGTTTTTTACCTACGGACATCTCCCATATCAAATTGAGCACTTTACAAATTTTTCTTCCCATATTTAAATCGGGGGTGCTTGTATATTTCAGCAAAAATTAAAGAAATCGTCAATACATTCGTAACAAAAACTAGCTTCGCTGAAGGTTATTTTTTCTCTCTTCTAAAATGTATCTTGTTCTAAATATTTTCAGAAGACTTGATACAAACTTGTTTAAGCAAAGATCTTGGATTATTTTTATACTTTAATCGTAAACCACTATTTTATTCAAAATTCTTTCTTAAGCAATCTTAAGAGAGTTTTGCTTTCTAAGAAAAAGGGAAAAATTTTAAGCCAAGACTTCGTTATTGATGTTGTACTTGTTCGTGCGCTTGTTTTTGAACTTTAGTGGGTGTTTCATTGTTGTTACATATTTCTCTGAGGAAAAATGTAAGTTTAATGGTTTTTGAAACTAATTAAAAATTATGCTACTTACCATATCATTAAATTTTTCATTTCTTCTTGGGAATACAGGATGTTAGGGGCTGCACAATTTCCCGCTTCTTTATCCAGACACCTAAATGTTTATTCAAACAAAAAATGTTAAAATTGTAATCTTAATTTAGTTTTCATCAAGCGCACTTGCTTTCGAATTTTTCATTCTGATGAGCTGGATTCATTAGCTCGTCATTTCTTGGCGGAGCTTTTTTTAGTCGAAGTAATTTTTCACTTTAAAGTTCATTAGTTCGTCTAAAACGAGCTGAGCGTATTTTTTATGACACTTTATTTCAAATTTTTTTGTGTGTAATTTTTCATTTTTTTCGGAATAGTGCTTTGATAGAGTGAGAAAAGCTATAACAATAAATTCTCTTATTTACAGAGGGTTCGTCAAATTTGATATTTAGCTTCCACACGTTAAAAGGTAAGCCAAATTGATGTTTATAAAAGATTTCGCATCAACCTTAAAGTTGATTCAACTTTTTGCGATGTAGCAAAAAATTTTGCACAAAAAAAAAGAGACTGTCAAAATGTCAAATCTCCATACAAAATACATCAGCTCGTCGCGAAGCTGACAAATCAATGAACCCACCTTTAACATCATTTCATTTCTATGTTGAGTAATACTTCCTATTGAAGCAAGCGGTTGTTTAATTTAGTATGTTATGTTGTATCAATATTAAGCTTCAAATATTTCAACCATAACGTTTAGCTGCTAATGCAAATAAGCATACTAAATTTTTTTAAAATAACTGAAGTATTGGATCAGAAATTATAAATTCATTCAATTATTTGAATTTTTTATGTGTAACTTGATAGTTTATTTGAATACACCAACCCTGCAAACAAAAGCTTTTAAAGAGATAAAGATGGTCAAGAATTTTATTAACAAAATCATTCATTCCCGTTCCCAAAACTTTAATATTTTAACATATGTTCGTCTTGACTAGTTAGAGCACAACATTCAGTTATAACTGTAAACAGTTTAGAAACAAATTGAGAAGATTTGTTGAAAACTTCAAAATTGTATTTTAAATCCTTGCAAAGTTTGGGTGACTTCCGTATTGTAAAACAAAAACAATTTATTATAATTAAACAGTCGGATCGGATTTTCTTAGGCTTTTTCGGTCTTCAGGAATCTCTTTTCAGTTCTTTGTGTTGACTTAATTAGGCTTTTGGATTACTGTTGTTAAAGAATTATTAATATTATTAAAAACATATAAATTATGCTAGTATATCTATTTAAGAAACAAAGTGCAGATTAGAATGAACAAAAATAAACGGATAGGAAAAAATAAATTGAACGTAAAGTAAATACAGTTGGATCCAACCAATCTTTTGTAATGCAGCACTTTTCCCCTCAACAAGTGAAAATCATTCTTTCAAAAACAGTCTATTAAATTATAAAATACATTATTAACACGTTCGCGGACGCTAAAAATTTCAGGAAGCTGAAATCACGTCATTTCAATAGCAATCACGTCATTTTTGCATCACTATGAAAATGAATACTATAACATTCGCGTCCGCGAACGTGTTAAAATTTCTTTCATTCATATCCTATTTTTTCAAAAATAGCAAGTACTTAAGATGAGCAACGTTTGTAATCAAAGTGGCGTTAAAAAAAATAATTATATTTACCGCATAGCTTTTTGGCTTGCTTGGTGCCGGTTTTCAAAATAAATATTGGGCACCCACTCTCAAAACACTCACTTTCAATTTCTTAACAGTATAATGCTCAATCCAAGATTATTCACTGAATTAAAGGTTGGAAATATAATTTTAGCTTTTTATTTGATTGTATATCTTATCAAGTTAATTTCGCTGCAAAAAGAAAGAAAAACTTTTTGGAAAATCGGTAATGGAAAAAATTGAAAAAAAAAATTATTTTTATTTTAAATTTAGTTTTTTTTAAGTCTTCAATGTTTTTTTCAATGACGGCGGTGGGTTCAGTACAATGTTTGTTTCTTTTTTCCATTTATATAGTAAAAAATGTCTGTATATTTAGTCTACTGTAATTTTTGACATTTTCCTTTTTCTAATTATTTAGTAGATGTCTGTATAATTATTCTAATGAAAGTTTGGACGTTTTCCTTTTTCTATTTATAAATAAATAAAAAAATTCTATTCTATTTAGTAAAAATGCCTTTATTTTTTTATTAATAAATGCTTGCATATTTATTTAATATTTGTTATAATACCATTTCTCTTATCATTATTTTTAGCACTTTTCCAAAAAATTTTTGAAAAAATTTTCACTCTGTCCGTCCGTCTGTCCGTGTGTCTGTTTACAAAACTTCTACACCCTTGAAGATAGAAAGCTGAAATTTTGTATGTACATAGATCTTTACTAGAAACTTATTTCCATAGAACAAAATTTTTACCTATCCCCTCCCCTCTAGAAGTTATACCTACCCAAAACCCTAAAAATGGCCTTTTTTAACTATTTGTTGCAATGAAACCATAAGCATTTTTGAAATTTTGCAAACGCATAAAGGCAGCGGCTTGCTTCCCCTAGCGCGGTATACTATAGTTAAATTTTAGAAAAACAAAATGGCCGTTAAAATTTACCGTTATCTAAAGTCTTTTTTTTTCCAAATTTTTGATTTCGTTTTTCTTTTAGACCCCAGCCTGTAGAAGCTTGAAATTTTAGGGACTTTTAGACATTAACAAATAGTTCATTTCGTTGAAAGAAATTTTTTTTCCATCTCCACCCACTCTCAAGTTATTGCCTCTTGAAATTTGTAAAATTTGATTTTTTGACACCTTATAGTTCCGAAACCACAAGCTTTCAAAATTTCTATAAACACAAAAAGATAACGGTAAATTCCATGACATTAAAAAATATAATTATTTTTCTTAACTCACACAATTAACCCATAAAATCGAGCATTATGTTAACCTCTTTTTATATTAATTTTTGCTTTATTTCAAAGGCTGCATGTATGAGTTATCCTAAATATATGCAATCCTAGAAATAGCTTTGTATATGAATGAAAATGCTTTTAATAGTGTGATAGGTATACATAGAGTGTATTTAAAAGCAGAATTTTCACTTGCTGAAGGGAAAAGTGCTACAATACAAACCATTGGTTTGATCCAACTTTATTTTATAATAAATTGTCTTTTACAACAGTATTTATATAATAATTTTAGTGGACTTGACTAATGAAGGTAGTTTGAGTCAACGAGTCCGTATTTAAGTCCTACAAACAAATATTAATTTTTTTCAAATATTAATTTCTTTGACGCAGAATCTTTTTAATATATTGTCTTACATATTGTCAAAAACATTACGTATTGTTAAAACAACAAAGGGACTCAACCTCTTAAATTTTGATAGACAAAAAATCGTCACATCATTAGATTTACATGTTAATTTATATGCAAATTGATTTAGTCGAAATTGCGATACGTCACTTTGCTTTTTTTACATGGTTTTTAAAACTGTCCACTTTATTTGTGTACGGTTTTGCTTACAAGTTCTTTTTTATTTAACATATACGTTTTTTTTTTCAAACGTTTTTTGCACGGTTTTCTAAAAAACTATCAACAGAGTAAAAATTTACAAAGTATAAATTTCCCTCAAGATATATACATGGTAATGTATGTAATGTATGTAATGAATGTATATTAGCAAGATATATACATGCTAATGTATGCAATTATAAAGTTCAATTAGTCCTAACGTACTAAGCTTTTATAAAAGCAAAATGGTTTTAGTTGTCGTCCTCTAACAGTCTAAGTGAAAAGAAAATATTTATGTCTAAACTAAACTAAATTTCAAAAAACTAATTTTCTTCAAAATTTTTACAGTATCGTAATGGTAGTAAGAAAACTATTTCAATTGAATATCTTTTCATTTTACTACATATATACTATATATGAATGTACAAATATACAAGTTTGATTAGATCAGTAATCGATTTCATTGCTACTATCTCACCCATAAAAGTTATTTTCCTTTTAATTTTCATATGAAAATGTACTAGCCATCTTGAGATTACACAGGAAATGACAAATTTTCGATATATACATTCATACATAAAAATATATATGTACACTAATTTACATTTTCTTAATTTTATTATTTAATATGTACATACATACATATCTATACTTATTATTATCAGTCACATATGTATATACATACATACACAGAACCGTGAATAAAAATTATGCAAAAATTAAATTATCTGGAATTCGGGTTGCCAAATAGAAAATATAGAATTACACAATTATTATATAACCAACCCTAAGTTAATAATCAAATATATACGTAATATGTAGATGTTAGATAAAAAAACACAAGGCCTGAGCTATTTGCAATTTTACATGACAAATATAAAAGACAACTATTTTATACGTGAAATTGAAAAATTTTCCTGTTTAAGTAAACTTATGACAAAGTAACTTTTGACGTTGTATGACTGCAACCCAAACCATCCAATTCTAATTCAAATAGGGTTTTGACATTTACTATAACAAATCATTTATGTAAGTTTGGTTAACTTAATTCAATTAATTTTCGAGCTATCGCTGGGATGAAGGAAGAATTTGAATATCCTTAATATTTCTACGCAAATTTTTTCAAACAAAATATCTTAATAAATTATGTAACAAATTTTTTGAACATATTATGTTACATACATATGCACATATAATTCATACATATGTAATTTCACATTTGTGAGAAATTATATTTTGCAAATACAGAAGTAAAGATAATTTGAAATGTTTAGATATTTGATCGAAATTTAAATTATAATAAATAGAGTTGCGTCAAATCAATGGTTTGTAATGTAACACTTTTCCTTTTAACAAGTGAAAATACTGCATTTACAAACCATCTAGCTACGTACTATATATTTAAAATTATTTTTATTCATATAAGAATATATTTCAAACATTGCATGCATTTAATGTGAGCAATCTGTGTAATCTTTGAAATAAAAGAAAAAAAAAATTCGAATTTAAGGGTTCGAATTTGAAGGTTAATTGCCTTAATTAAGAAAAATAATTATATTTTTAATGGCAAGGCATTTACCGTTAGGTCTCTGCATTTATAGAAATTTGGAAGAGTTTGCGGTTTCGGAAATATAAGGTACTAAAAATTAAAACTTAACAAATTTCGAAAGGCGATAACTTGAGAGGGGGTGAGAGTGAAAAAAAATTTTTAATGAAATGAACTATAACAACAAGTATGTTGTTTTTTTTAAAGTTGAAACATTGTACGCCACGGTTTAAATTAGATCGAAGAAGACAGCTACTGCTTTTTTGCGTTTGCAAAGTTTGAAAAATGCTCATGGTTCCGCTACAATAAATAGTTCAAAAATAGCATTCTTAGAGTTTTGTGTGGCCATATCTTTTAGAGGGGGGTAGAAGTTTCTTCGGAAATAAATTTCTAGTAAAGATCTGTATACATAAACATTTTCACGGATGTACGGATACACGAACGGGCGGACAGAGTTAAACTAATAAGCATTTTTTTAAAAGTGCTAAAAGTTTTAGAAAACGAAAGAAAAAAATACAAAGTGTAAAGCAAAGCAATAAGATTCGAAATGAAAATTAATATATATATGTATATATATTTTAGTACACACATATATTAGAAAAATAAATTGCTAAATATCTGTCAATTGAAGGATTCCATTTAAGGACGCTAATTAAACGTATATATCTACAATCACACTAGTTAAGGAGAAATTAGGAGAAGCAATAACGCAAATTACGTTAATATGGGGTGGCGCGCATTTTCGCATCCAAAGTAACTTTCCAATTCTCAATATATGAATTTATAGGTTAGTTTTTGTTCACAAAATAATAAAAACTGTAATTTTTCGTTCAAGTATACTTAATTACATATATTTATATACAAATATATAATTATACTCGAACGAAAAATTATACAAATATATAATTATAATCGTAAAAACTGTAATTTTTCGTTCAAGTATACTTAATTACATATATTTATATACAAATATATAATTATACTCGAACGAAAAATTATACAAATATATAATTATAATCGAACTAAGATTGAACTGCAAATACATATATCATACGACTAAAAAATGAATAAAAATATGTTTTTGCTAAAAATATGTTTTTGTGGTGTCCAAAATTATATTTTTGTGATTTCTTTTACTCCGATGGATATATTTATTATAATGACAATGTAATACCAATATTTTGGTTCCTTTTTTTTATTTGTTGCGGGTGGCTCGGTTCGATAAGCTTCCATACAACTTCCCACTAGCAAAAGTCGATATTTTTGAATTTATTAAAGCTACATACTTAAAATTTTAGGAAATTTTGTCGAGTCTTGTGCCTACAAATATGTTATAACATTGAAGTTGGGAAAGTTCGGTTCGATGAGCCGTTGCATAACTCTTTTTCTGTCTACGCTGATCTAATAAAGGCACATGCATGAAATTATGGAAAAGTTGTCGCACGTTGCGCCTAGAATTATATTACAATGCAAAGGTTGACGAAAGCTCGGTTCGATGAGCCGCCGACCAACTTCTTTTTTGCCCACGCTGAACTAATAAAGTTACATACTTGAAATAAGAAGGCTCGGTTCGTTGAGGTTGCCATCAACTCCTATTTCGTCTGCGATCAAAACTATAAAACTGAAATTTTATATGGTATTATCGAATGTTGTGCTCAGAAGTATACTTGAATGTGGGAGTTTAAAAAATGCTTTAATAAAAAATTTCGTTTAAAAGTACATATGTACATATGCATATATATATATATATTTGCTTTTACGTAAATATGTTGATTAATGTCGATGTTAAATTTAAAAGAAAACTAGTAAATTAAATAAAAAAAATAAAAAAAGAAAAATGCAATAGAAAATGCAAAATGTGTTTTCGGTAAGAAAATAGGTAGGAAACTTTTTGTTCTATTGGAAATATAACCAAAATAAGTTGGCTTGGCCTTATTATTGATGAGACCAAATGCATGAATATGACATTTTTGCGTCATAGTAAAATTTTGTACTGTTGAGATGACAAGGTACCTGAGTGAGCATGTCATAAGTTCTTTAGAGAAAATTTTCGAAATCAATTACAGCTATGGAACGGTTTGGTGAAGAACCCTACCTTTAACGCGTTTTTGGGCGTTCACGGCACACAAATGCGAGAAGAATTGTGGATGAAACTGTAATTCACCTTGGGTTTTCGTTGTTTCAAAAAGGACAAGCATATACCTGTCTTAGCCGACTTAAATCGTTAAACGGCCTCTATAAAATTAGTTTAGGCAGTGAGAAATTGATGAAAATGAATGTCACGCTTTAGATGAAATGCAGCTATTAAGATCCTTGCAAAGGCATTAAGTATAAATAAATAATACACATATAGTAAAAAACATAAAATAATACAAAAAAAAAACTTAAAAAAAAATCCTTGTTGTTCTAAAAGTTTTGTTTGAAGATTTTTACAAGAAGGGGTTGTGAGGACTTCATAAAATTAGCCATTTGTTTCTCGAATTAATAGTTAACTGTGCTTTTAAATTGCTGCCATTAATTGGCTTAAAATAGATTCTTTCTAAAATGCCATTGAAGAAAGTAGTTCTAATACCTTTTTTTTTCCTCATTTAGATATTAGTCGTAGAGTGTGTTTTTTAAATAAGTAACTAGGTAATTTGCATTTTTTCAGGTACAATTTGGTTCTAAGCATTAAAAATAATTTCATTGAGTGCAAATTAAAAATAATATTTAATTTTTCTCCTGTCTATAATTCTTTTTAAACAAGAAGGACATTAGAATTTATATTTAAATTTTTGTTTACAGCCTATCATCCAAAATTTTAATAAGCGGAATACCGCGTCAAACGCGTTTCGAAGATATTGAGCCACTTTTAAAACAATTCGGAACAGTGGAACAGTGTGAGGCCGTAACTAGTAAGGACCCGAATACTCAAACTGTACATATAACTTTTTCAAATCACGAGCAGGCACAAAGGTACTAATATTAACAGAATCGCTACTTATTTTATATTACAAATAAGTAAAATGTTGGACAACATTTCAATTTAATCGCAATAGAATTAAATAATTTGTATATGTTTGTTATTGTTTTTTTTATTATATCTGATTGTTATTATTATTACTAAAACACTTGAATAATATTTTGGAATGGACTTTTTACATGTTATAACATAATAAATACATATATATTTTGTTTGCATATACATATTGTCGATCTATTTATGATATTGAAATCGTTAATAATATTTTCAATTTTATCTTTACTGGTATTAGCGATCTTTTAATTTGAATATGTCTTCAAAAAGCATGAAGAAAAAATAATACATAAATGATCATTGAAAAATTCAAATTTAATCAAAAGTTGTTAATTTGTGTATTAAATTTATGTTATGTTATATTATTTTCTATAATAAGAAAAAATATTGTTATTTTGAAACTTAGTATAACGTCCATTCGATAGTAGTACTTTAATCTTTAAACCTGTAAACTCATTTCAGTCGTAATTAAATAGTAATACAAAAACAATTATAAAAAATATATAATTTATTTGACATCATGTTTAAAGATTTATCTTTTTTATACAATTTTGTTCGCAATATTAAAATTATATATGCATTAAAATTCTTTAGAAAATTACTTGCCAAAATAAAATTAATTAAAACCTTCACCAACAGAGCGGCTAGTGGTTTAAATGGTGTGGAGTTTGAAGGAAACAAATTACACGCCGAATCTCTAGATAAACAACAACAAAAACGAGGTGGAACTGGATCTGGTAACAGTAACCGCGGCGGAAGTAGTGCAACTAGAACACAATACACCAATATGCCAGGTCCTGGAAGACAAGCAGATTTTCCTTTGCGCTTGTTGGTGCAAAGTGAGATGGTTGGAGCCATAATTGGTCGACAGGGAACTACGATAAGAACCATAACACAACAAAGCAGAGCACGAGTGGACGTTCATCGAAAAGATAACGTGGGATCCTTAGAAAAAGCAATTACGATTTATGGTAACCCTGAAAATTGCACTAACGCCTGTAAACGAATATTAGAAGTAATGCAACAAGAAGCTACTAACACAAACAAGGGGTATTATTTTTTATTATTCTTATTATTTATTTTAATTTTGATATAGAATTTCGTTTTAAGTTTTATTAATTAAATTTCAATTTTTTAGGGAAATATGTTTAAAAATTCTCGCTCATAATAATTTAATAGGACGAATAATTGGTAAAAGTGGAAATACAATTAAACGAATAATGCAAGAAACTGATACCAAGATTACCGTTAGTTCTATTAATGATATAAATAGCTTTAACTTGGAACGTATCATTACTGTTAAAGGTACAATTGACAATATGTCAAAAGCGGAGAGTCAAATAAGCTCAAAATTGCGTCAAAGCTATGAAAATGATTTACAAGCAATGGCACCACAAAGTTTAATGTTTCCTGGCTTACATCCAATGGCTATGATGTCGACCCCGGGTAATGGAATGGTATTTAATCCTGGAATGCCTGGTGGTTACCCACCTTGTCCAGGTTTTCCTATTGCTAAGAATCCTGCTACTATAGTTCCTCCAGTCTTCCCAAATGACATGCAAGAAACAACTTTTCTGTATATTCCAAATAACGCCGTAGGTGCTATAATAGGAACTAAGGGATCACATATTCGTAACATAATGAGATTTTCTGGAGCATCCGTCAAAATCGCGCCATTAGAAGCTGATAAGCCTCTTGATCAACAGACAGAGCGAAAGGTAACCATAGTTGGTACGCCTGAGGGCCAATGGAAAGCTCAATACATGATTTTCGAAAAAATGAAGGAAGAAGGCTTTTTGTGCGGTACAGATGACGTTCGACTAACAGTTGAAATATTGGTTGCTAGTTCGCAGGTTTATTAATATTAAAAGAATAATATAATAAAAGCTGTTTTCATACGAAATATTTGTAGGTTGGCAGAATCATTGGCAAAGGAGGACAAAATGTAAGAGAATTACAAAGAGTTACTGGGAGTCAAATTAAACTTCCGGAACATAACTCATCTCCACCAGCTGATGAAGAAACTACTGTTCATATTGTCGGTCCATTTTATAGCGTTCAAGTAAGCGTTTTGATTTTATTTGAATTATTGTCAGATATAAAACAAATTTAAAGAAAGCGTTTTTTTAATTTATGAATTTTTTATTTCATGGAACTTTTTCCTCTTTTTAGTCAGCTCAAAGAAGAATTAGAGCTATGATGATGTCAACAAACCCACCTCCAGTAACAAAAAAGCAAAAAGCTGCCAAAGAGCAAACCACTTCTTCCAGTGGAAGTGCGACACAAAGTCAACAATCGCAACAACAGCAACAGTCCAGTTCCAGCCAATAAGAATGTTGTTTTCATTTCCTTTGATTTTATAATTTTAAAGCTAAAATTCAAAACATTAATTTCGAAATTATAATTACATGCGAAAAACAACATTCTTGAAATAATGTAAAACTTAATTCAAAATTATAAAACGAAAAGTAATACACGTTTAAGGTATATAATATAATAACTTTAGCTCCTTTGATAAAATGTTATATTAAGTATGCAAACATATAACCAAATACAAAACTTTTGAATATTATATTTTAGAACGTTAATGTAATTCAAAATAATTTTTTAAAATCAAGCGTAATGTTTCTGTTTATTTTTCGTGATTACTGAAACGCAGTTTTCTATTTAGTTGATATTTTTATTGTATTATTGAAATTTTTAATTATAATATTTTAATAATCAAAAATAGGGAGATAATAAACATAACGAAAATTCAAAAATATATTCAATAACGAAAATATTTGAATAATTTTTGTTATTTTATCATATTTTAAAAAGTAAAAAAAAAATCATATTTTCAAGAAATTAAAACAAATCTGCTCGTAAATATATATGAACATGAAAATTAGTTTTTCATTGTGTCGATTCTTGTTTGCCTCAAATCTACGAACAGAAAACGCATCGAATTTTTTTTGTATAGATTTGAATAGGTATAATCAAATATGATATTTTGATTATCATTTTAAGTCATTTCTTAAGTAAAAGCCTAAGTTCATTGAAATTAAAAATGAATTTCCTTTTAATTTACAATGAATCATTAAGTTATCTTTTCTGTTTTTTTTTTAATTTTAAATTTGAGAAGATTTGTTAACTCAAATAATTTTATATTTTTATAGTAATCAATAATTAATTGTTAAAAATTACTTAAAATAGAATCTGTTGTTATATTGTAATTTAATTTTTATTTGTGAATAATCATTTCAAAATAGTACTGGTGGCAAAAGTCGACATTTTTACAATTTTATAATAAATCAAATTGCAGAAAAAACAATAATTATACATTAAAATAAATTTAAGACCATGTATATTTTTCCTATAGTATTTATTCTATTCTAGTTAATTTATTATATTTTGAAAATGTTTTGTCACGCAAAAGTTAATTTTAGGTAGTAATACATAAAAATTTTGATTGAAAATTAATTGTTTTGTGCTATTTCCACAAATAATATATAATGGTTTCACATCATATATTTTTCCAAAAATATATTGATATATTACCAAATACTTCTATAATTTTCTTGCTGTTTTAAAGAGCTCAGATTAAATTTTGTTTTTAAATAATCTCCAAAAGCAACAAATTCTAATTTCTGGTAAGAGAAAACTTTTATAGCTGTAAGAAAAAAAAACAAAAAATACCTCAGAAAGTGCATTACTTGATTATAAAATTTTATTAACATTATGAAACGCATTAAATTTTATTTTTTTTTTTTTTTGCTATCTGTTTTATGCAATATCTTTATAATACAATCACTACATTTCTCTCATAATGCAAAAGTAACAAATTGAAATTTAAGGTTGTTTTCAATGGATTTGATTTTGAAAAATGTATAATTGAAAACATATTTTGACAAAAAATTACTACTTGATAAAAATAGCCAAAGGTGAATTGATGTTGTATTAAAGATTTATTTTTTTTTCGAAGTAAATAACTTTAATCGTGCCATAAATTTTTTTATTCACACATGGAGGTGAGATTAATTCGCGTATACTGTTTATTTATAAACTAGGACTTTCTCCTATGCAACTTTAAGCAGCGTGCATAAATAAATTTTTGAAACATATCAAAATTGTACTAATCATAATTAAGCTAATTATTAATAATATTTCAATTTTATTTGAATACAGTTTTTAAATTATCTAATAAAATAAAATTCTCAAACAGAAAATCGAATGTATTTTCAACAAAGGCAAAATAAAGTTTAAGCATTTTTTTTGCCATCAAAATTTTTTGGTGTTTAACTTAAAAACTAATTTACTTTTAGGTATGCCAGAAAATCTAATGCAGAAAAATCTTAGCATACTTATTAGGGTAATTAAAATGCTTTTGAAGTATCTCCTCCACAATATTTATTAATGAAACGCGCGTTAGAAATAATTTTTAAAACTATAAATTTAGATAATTTTTAAATTTTATTTTATTTTATTTTGTTCAACAACTACTTCAAGACACCAATGAATATGTTACTAAAAATCTTTTAGTCAAGACATTCGCTTTGTAAATAGAATTTGTTAACGAATTGCATTAAGTGATTATATTTTTAATGAAATACTTTCAAAGATGTAAAACACATTATTTTTCTGCTTTTATTTGTACTTCGAAGCTAATCCAAAAAATACGTTGAAAAATTTATTAAAAATAAGCAGATAAAATATTTAACTCAAAATGTTAACTTATTGAATATTTATTAAAAATATTATTTGTTTATATAAAAATTAAAAGGTTTTGATAATATAAATATAGATTATGGAATTCTTCGAGAATTTAAAGAGAATGTTTAATAAAAATGTAATTTGTAATTCATTTTAAAAAAAATTTGGTATATAAATAAATTTAACTAACAAAATTTATTTAGGGGGTAAAAAATGCTGTTATTTTAAGAATGTAATTAAATGTGTATTTAAAGATTTATTTATCTGTACTAAAATTTAAGAAATTATGAATAAAAATGACGGTTGCAAAATATTAAAAAGCGAACAGATATTTTGTTACATCATTTCCTATGTTTATAAGAACAACAAACATTTTTTTTTATATATAAGAATTAAGATAACTTATAAAGTTTTGGCGGTTGTCTCATACAAAGTAACTATTTATATAAGTTTATTGCATTTTCAATTTTTTTATTTGCATTTAGTTTATAAAAGTTTCACTAGATTCGTTTAACTTATGTAAAAATAATTTCCAAGATAATATTGATTGCAAAGCTTTAGCGGCGCTGGAAAAACTGGTAGAATTGTAAGAATCATTGCAAAATAATTAACCAAAACTATTAAATAAAATATTTCACAGCAGTTAAGTCGCTACAGTCGATGATCAGAGGAAATTTGCAAATGAAAAAACTATTATTTTTAAGAAACCTGGTGTTATTTAGCAAAATAAGTGAAAAAAATAAATTATATAAGTGCGGCTTTGTGAAACTCAAATCTTAAAAATTCCACCTTAACCAATTTAACATTCGTTTTGATCTGATTTAAAAATATTCGATTTTTATTGTTCCCCTCTCCGAAAATTATTAAATTTTTGTATAATTTCTTTCATTCTTCACTGAAATTTTCACATTCATACAAACATATAATGCAAAATAATTTGTACATACAATACAACTCATGTCTTATATATGCATACATATTTCGAATATGGGGCAAAATTAAAGTCAATTAAAACCGAAAAAAACTCTTAACGGAAATTTTAGATTGTATTTGGTATATTGGATTTATTCGAAGTATTGGATCACCAAATGGTAGTGATATTTATCGTAAAAATCCGATATAGTTATTATAAACACAAGTAAATTCTTACTGTCATCAATTCATCGTGTCTATAATAAGATTTTTGAAATTGTTACGATAAATATTACCATCACTTAGTGATTAGATGCTCAGAATAAGTCTCATTTACTCGTAGCTACAATATATTTAATTTTAAATACATATATCAGTTATTGTTGTGCATTGTCAATTGTAAAACATACATATATTTCTTGATCAATAACTATCTAATTTAATAGTGTATATTCTTTGATTTGATAAATGAAAAGGTTAAAATTAGTGAAAGAAAAGCACAGCAAAGGACATGTATAATGGTTATCGAAAATTATGCCCACAAATTATAATGATTTTAAATATTTAACACCAGACATCGGGATTTGTATTTTAAATTAGTTTTCAAACTTTATTTTATAGCTTTATTTTCTTCCCAAATATATTAGTTTTTATTAGATTTTAATTTCGGTTTTCCTTAATTTAATTTTTTAAAAGATTTTTTAATTTTCGACGGTACTTATAAATTATAATTACATTTGCTTAATTGCGAAACCACTTTTTTTTGCTTAAGTATTATACTATAAAAATAAAAAACGAATTTGAAGTATGAGATTTTATTCGAGATTGCAAGTGAAAATTAAAATTTACGAATAAAATTATGTAGAGATGATATTGAAACGTACAAAGAAAGTACAAAGAAAGAATTATTTATTTAACAAAAGTTACATATTTTTACAAGATTTTTATATAAAAAACAAAAAAAAAAAAAAAAAAAAAAAAAGAGCAAAAAAAATTAAAAACTTTTTTTTTAATAAAAATGCAACATCTAATAAGAGAACTTACAAATAGATAACGAAACTCGGAGTATTACATACAAAAATCCTTATCAACCACAGATATGTAGCATTGAAATAATATTTGTAAAGATATATTAAGCTGGATACAATATGTTTATGCAAACTTACACACATCTAACCAGTAAATAAAGTTGTAGGTATTCTCGAAGTTGTCGTACTCGATATACTTTCCTTTTTATTTAATTGTAAATTGCTTTATGCTTATTTACGTCAAAGTTTAAAAAAAAAATCCTTAAAATCAATGAAACTGAATTTTCGTTTTTAATAAAAATATCAGTTTTCATTTTTACTAAACAATTTAAGTACTTATATTTTCTTAAAAATTATTGAAAACAAAACCATTTTAAAAAAAATGATAAGAGTCAGATCCACTATGTAAATCTTATAGATGAAAAAGCAAAACCCCCCAAAAATATTCAAATTATAACAAATTACCATATTATATACCAGAAAAAAACCATAAAATATGAAATATATTATTCAATAAAAGAAATAAAATTTTTGTAAATTAATACTTTTAGCTATATAAAAATAAGAGTTGAAATGAACTTTCTAAAGATATAATATTAAGTTAAATACATAGAAATATAGAAATTAAATATTAAACACAGAAAAAAAAGTAAATTGAAAATCATTTTGAGGCGTTATTTTCCCAAAGTAATTAAAAATCACTGCCGACAAAAATCAACAGCGAAATGGAATATAAACATACATTCATACATACAAACATAAATTGAAACGCCTTTTGTAAAGGAAGAATTTTTCTAATACTTAAAATGCAATTTGAAACTGAAATATGTACATATGTATGTATATATTTCGGAGGTTTTTATACATAATAAATGATGTATGAATAATAATTATTTGTATATATACAAATACATATTTATTATTTATACATCATATGAGTATGTAATAGAAACACACATATATACATACATATATTTTTTTTTAAAAAATAAATGACTTCCATATTGTTAAAAAAAATTTGTTAAAATGTATTTTAATTCTCTTTAAATTTTTCATAACCGAAAACTTCAAAAATTTACTCATGATCTGTAATATGCTCTGTAATATTTCATTTACATGAGAAAGATATTTCATTTACATAAAAAAATAATACCTATAAGAAAATTTGTAAAAAGTATCCAAAAATTTCTTTGAAAAATTTTGCGCTTTGCTCAAAAGTTTTTAATCTTAATCATAGCCCATATTTATTTTGCAATATATACGTCATATACACACATATTTTGCTATATGGTATACGTATGTCATAAAATTTATGAAAAGCATCAATAATTTCTTGGAAAAATTTTCTGCTATTTTGTGCATAGCTGGAGCTTCTAAGGAATGTGAAAAGTGCTACAAAGTCAATACAATATAAAATTTTATAGAAAATTACAGCTTGGTATTATAGTTTTGACTTTAAGAAAATATAATTTTCTTTATATTTGGCTTTATAAGCTTGAAGTTTGTGTTACAATGTGGAAGTCAGAGATAGTTAAAAAACTTGTTACACTTGGCTTTAGATTGATTTTTCTTTATTGTATACAAATATTGTAAGTCACTTATATATAAGTTTACAACACAATTGAAATCATTTATTTAAATATTATTGAATCTTTTATAAAATAGTCTGTGTGATGTTGCTTAATTTTTTTTTATTTCTGTGTAATATCTTATAATATTTGACAAAAAATTTAACGTTAAGTTTTACTACTATATTAAAAAATTATTTAGAAAATTATGTGAAAATTAACATTAATTTAATTTGAAGTAATCAGGATATATAGAAATATAAGGAATAAAAAATTAACTTAAATTAAATATTTTGGTTAAGAAAACTTTTATGTAAAAAACAATAATTTATTTTTAAACACAAACAAAAAAAGGAAATAAAAAAAACGACACAGATCCTCATAAGTCAAACAAAAAAAAAATTAAAAAATGCAGATGCATTGCGAAATTTGCAGATCTATTAAAAATAATTATAAACAAAAACTACCTCAAAACAAATATATTTATATTATTAATTATACATTATTAAACAAGAGAAGGCGGGGAAAAAGATTTTAGATTACGGTTTTAAATAAATAAAACCAAAAATTACAAAAAAGAAATGAAATGTATGTTAACAAATACACACAATTTATACCAATAGTTATTCAAAAATAAACTATAAAAATGTATTTATTTACACCATGAATAATATTATGTATTTATTAATATGCGTGTGTGTATATTCATAATATATAGTTATTTTTTTGTATGTTGTATATGACCGTAGGATTTTAACTCAACTTTTGCATTTGTATATACAGTAAACACATCTAACTAATTGTTTGTGAAAATTTAACTATTTCGCAAGGTTACTTTTGGCAAATACATGTAAACCTGTCAAATGTTTGCCTAAGTTTAAAATTAGAACTGTCTAATTACGAAAGCATTAGAAATATCATATATGTATGTATATATACATACATGCTTCGTTGAAGAAAATAATTTTTTTTCATTCATAAAAAAATGTATGTATGCCTTGGGATTAAAAAGAAAGAAATATTTTGTATGAAAAAACAAGCAAAAGTATTTTTTTTATTAATAAATAAATAGAGCGTTGAATATCAAAGGTAAAATAAAACTGACATTATAAATTTTCGGTTGAAAATAGTTTAAAATCAGTTCTATTTAGTTCTTCATATTTTTGGTTGGACAAATACATATATATTTATATATATAGATATATATATGTATATATAAATGTAATAATATATATATATATATGTGGGTGTATGTGGGTGTGCATGTAACCTTGGCATAACAAAAATGCAGATCTGTTCATTAAGGGAGGATTAGAAAGGTTATTTTTGGCAACGAGTTTGGAATTTTTGTTACGTAAATATGTAGGTATATGGGTGAAGATAAATAGTATATTACAATAATACATGACACAATCTTTGATTGCTGTATACATTTCTGCAAAAGAGTTATCAACGCATCAAAATAACAATAAAATTTAAACAATCAGTTCGATAGAAATACGCACACACATATGTATAAATATAAAAGTATATTTAAGTTAAAAAGTTTACTCTCAAAAAAAATAACAGAAAATTGTATTTGTAATAGATTTAGATGCAGAATTATTAAAATTTACCACAAAAGTTTATAATATATAAGCAAAAAAATTAATATACATATAACAAAAGAAAAATTTTAATATAACAATCCATTCAGTATACAATATTCAATTTGAAATCAAAATAATCATCGTAATTGTTTTGGATAGAAATAATTAGAACTACATATTTTAATATTGTATTTAACTATAAATTTACTTGCTTTTAATTTTTCTAAATGTGTATTCAGTACCGAATTTTTAAATGTCACATAAAAATATTAAAAAAAAAATATACATACATATATACCAAAACATTAAATATAAAAGCAAAATTTCTGTATTCAAAATTTGTCAAAACTAAGTTCTCTAAATAAACTTTTATTTGGAATATTATTTGTTTTATTTGATATTTGCTTGATTTTATTTGATATTGCAGTTCTGCTTTTTGGTTGGACAGTTATGTAGAAAAGGCTATATCATCACTTGCATGTATTTTTAAATGACATACTGCAACTCTTAAAATTCTTTCGAAGCACAATGTATTTTGTTAGCAGCAATAAAAGTGTGGGTAAAAAAAATAGATAGCATTTATATTACAAATATACATAAAAACATTTTTGCTTTATGCAATGTTATAAATACCTTCTCAGTTATACGTACACAGCACAGTCATTTATACATAAACGAAAATAAAATTTAGGCTGTGTAATAAAGTTCTTCATCTTGGGAAACAGAACAGTATCTAAAAGCTGCTAATATTTTGAACTCCTGCAACCAAAAATCTAGAGGAAAAAACGTTATTAAAAATTTAAAAAAATAAACGAATTTTATATTACGGTAAATTTTAACGGCCATTTTGTTTTTTTAAATTCAAATATGGTATGCCTCGGTAAAAGAAACCAGCCATTACTTTTCTGCGTTAGCAAAATGTGAAAAAATGCTCATGATTTCGCTATAAATAAATACCTGAAACTTCTAGAGGGGTACAGGTAGGTAAAAATTTTCTTCTACAGAAATAAGTTTCTAGTAAAGATTTATGTACATATCACATTTCAACATAGTTTTGTTTTTGATAATAAATTTAGGTAACAAGTCGAATTTGCTTGCAAAATCTGATAGTGTAAATAAATCACAGATAGGCTTTCAATCAATTAAAAAATATAAAAGTATGATTCAAAATATGATTTTTAGAAAGAAAATATACAAGCTCCAAGTTAAGTAAAAAAGTACAATTCTGGGTCTTGTTTTAGTACAATTAATTCTAACTCAATATTAAGTCTTAAACAGAAGTTGGGTAGATACGATTCAAAAGAGGTGTCCTGAGTTTTTCTAAAAGACGTAATTCAAAGAAAAGGTTTGCAAAGTGTAACCCTATATCCCCATTCAAAAATTTCTATTACATATAACATAAATTTATATTACATATGATTACACTTTTGGTACATATTTTCACATAAAAGTATTAAGGCCTGGACCATAAATTCCTATATGGTACATATATAAAGAAGTCTGAGCCTGGACCTTTCTTTTCTTGTGAATGATGTTCTAAAACTGTTAATGTATTTATAGCAACATGAAATTTCTTTCATCTTTTATCGTCTTTTTTTTATTTTTGAAAAAAAAATTGTTTTTTTCTATTTTCATTTCTAATTTTCTATGAAAAAAATTTACTAAAACCTAAGAATTTTTATATTAAAATGAAGTTTAGAGATTTCTGAGCAACATTTCAATTCGAAATTTGAACTATAATTTGGACTAAATATACTTTCAAATTTTCAAAAGTAAAAGTGCAATTTTAAAGGCAAACCGCAGATGTCTTTAATATTGAAACAGGAGTACGACAAGGAGACGCATTGTCTGCATTAATTTTTAATCTACCTCTACCACATGCTTTAGTAAAAATGAATACTGGCGGCAATATTTTTGTAAAAACATCGCTAATATTAGCATATGCAGATGATATAGTTATAATTGCAAGAGGCGTCAGAGCAATGTGCAAAGCTTTTATAGCTATTGAAAAAAAAACATCAAAAGTTGGTCTTAAAATTAATGAGTCCAAAACGAAGTATTTGGAAATGTCTAGAACCCCAAAGCAACAGCTGCAAAACATAACCATCGGCGAATACAAATTCGAAAATGTTACAAGTTTTAACTACCTAGGAACTATAATTTGTAATGATAATAATATGCATAATGCGATAGTATTCTAAAACAATTGCATTCAAACATAACGTATAGCAGTGAAACATGGACAATGACGAATAGTGATATGCAGAGCCTTCGCATATTTGAAAGAAAAATTTTTAAAGACAGAAAGTTAGAAAGTGGTAAATGCGAATGCCGAAGTAATGACGAGTTAGAGCAGCTAATTGAGGGTGAGGACATCGTTAGATTCATAAAGTCGCAGAGACTGCAATTGGCAGGACATGTGGTGCGAATGAGCAGTAATAGAGCGAAATACAAAATATTTGACAGTCAACCGTACCTCAATCGAGCAAGAGGAAGACGAAGCACAAGATGGCTTAACAACATAGAAAATGATGTTCAAACGCTGAGCATAGACAATTGGAAAACAGCAGCACAAGATAGAACGACCTGGAGGCAAATCGTGCGGAAGGCCAAAGCCTACCCCAGGTGGTAACGCCAAATTATGATGATGATGATAATATTTTCGAATTTGAACAGCCATGTCAAGCAACGTATCTGAGAGAATTTCGAGTAAAAACTGATAATATACTGAATAAAAGAAAAATTTTGTTGCTATATTTTTCAATCTAGAATAAACGACATAAAATAAAGTTAATAAAAATTTTATTAGATTTTAAGTTAGAATTTAAATTTGTAATCATTAGATTTTAAGTTTAAACTATTACTTTAATTATTACAAGCATTGTAAAAATGTGTCGTTCCAAACTGTCACCTATAATGAAACAAACATAAAAATTTTTTATAAAGATACTTGCCTAAGCTCTAAAAGGTCCGGTAGTTTAGGTGAATCTGTGAATTAAACTTACTAACAATGTGAAAATATTTCCTGATAAAACTAAAATCACACACATAAATACCCGAAAAGAATTATATGGACTTTTAATATAAAAAGACTACACATATGCAATGTTTTTTTTTGAATTATGAAGCATATTAATTTAATTATATTATATACACGTGAAAAATATACAGATATATGTATATATGATTATATGAGAAGTATGCATTTTGGGTGACACATCACACAAAATTAGCAAAATTGTTAATATCAAATGTAAATTTTTTCCAATTTGAAAAAATACACCAAAATCAAACTAATGTTTTGAAAAAAAAATTTGCACTACTTTTTTTCTTGCATTTTAGCATTTATTGAAATTTTGAAGAAATAAACTGAAATCCACGTTCCAAACCATAAATTGTTAATAGCGTCATATAGTCCAAGTTGTAAAGTTTTCGTTTTGTAAATGGCTTAAAAATATTCTTAACGCAAATAGATTTTTTTTGTTTGCATTTATTTTGCATTACCTCCAATTTGTTATTTTAAAAAAAAATGTGGTTTTGTTATTTTTTCAAAAAGGAAATGGGATTTTATATTTTTGGTTCAAAATTATGATCCAAAATGCAAATTGTAAGAACACCATTATTTTTGCAAGACAGCAAGATTGTTTTATGAGCTTTGGTTTTAAATGCTTTATTTGCCCAATTTCTGCAATTACGTTTGAAAAGAGGATGTAACGGTATTGCTGTCAAACGTGACTCACATACATGCATATGTGTATATGTGTTTAAAATAAGTGAGTTTGGAATATGTACCTGTACACTTGTGTTTTATATTTAAAAATTCAGTTTTGTTTTGATTCCTCTTAATTTCGTTCCATCATTTTCGCTATATTCATTCGGTTGCAATAATCTATCTTTTCCTTTCATTTGGAAATCTTATTACCATCTACTTTTTGGCATTTATTGAAATGTGTTGGAAATTGGGAAGGTTCAGTAGAAAGAAACTTACGCTTTTCTTCAAAATTGAACACATATTTTAGTTTTTCACATACTTCCATCAAAAATACCTATCTTTTGATCTATTAAAAACTTTTGGTGAAGAGGATAATGAAGATATGAAAGTTGAAGTAAACGATTAACTAATAAATTTTTATTTATTAGTGATATGAACATCAATGATAATTTTGAGTGGAATTTTTAAGCACTAACATTTATCTAATAAATATAAAAAATACTTTAGGATAATGGCTATATTAATTGTACTTCCTATATTCCGCTCTAATAATTGTGCTCCCTTATTTCATTGTAAAAATACCTTAAAACTGAAATAAGTTTGCTAATAAAAGTAGTAAGCAACATGATTCAGACAAATATGTAAATAGTTTTTCAAGATTACTTTATATTATTTTATATAACTCATTCAATGTTGTAAATTAAAATTAAAAAGAACAATTGAAACAATTACAAATGTTTATTGGAAAAATTAATATTATACATTAAACGAATAATAATATACAATGGAAGATTATTTTTTGCTTATTAAATATTGTTTATAAAACATGCTTAAATATGAAAGTTTTATTTGTTTTTTATTGTGCGTGAAATAGTTTCATCCATTCATTACCATACGAACAAATTCCTCATAATTAACATTTCCTTGAGAGTCCTCTTGATTAACGAGTAATTGTTCAACTTCCTCATCAGTTAATTTCTCTCCTAAAGTGGTTAGTAAATGCCTTAATTCTGCCGATGAAATAAATCCACTGGCATCTTTATCAAAATGTCTTAATCCTTCAATGAAATCGTCAGCTGTATCGCCTGAACGTGCTTTAGATATGGCTTGATAAATTGGTAAAAATACTTCAAAAAGTATTCTTTCATCTGCTTTTAGCTGATGAGTGCATTTTTTGACATCTGCTTCAGTAGGGTTTTGACCTAAAGCCCGAAGACATTCACCAACTTGACATAGTGGAATTTTGCCATCCCCACGGTTGTCGAAAAGGTTGAAGGCTTCCTGAAACTCTGCAATTAAAGAATATAAAAATGAAGTTAATAAACATTACTTAAATAAGTTGAATTATCAACATTTAAGTGTTGTAGTTGTACTGATTGCTCTTATAAAATTTAGTAAATATAAGCAGGTGCTAAAAGGGATGAATTCCATATATGTATGTTGCAGTTTCAATTTTGTGGGACCTACCTTCAACCGACGAAAATATGTTTTTGCATGAGAGATCAAATGCATACATTTTGGTTTTTATTGTTTTTTTTTTCTTCAAACTTTGAGTGCTTTACCTACAAGCTTTAAGAAATTTAAAATCAAAAAAATGTGTCCACGCAAACCCAACCAAAGTTTATATACAACTGAATTAAAAAAGCAAAGTATTAATAAATAATTTGAAGTTTTTCTTATTAATGATGCACCTCTAGCTATGACTAAATAAAACTGCAAAAGCACTAATCATAAAAACATTCATATATGTACATACTTTAAAATAAAGAGCTTTACCAATACAAACATGTAATAAAAATATGTTTTTGTGCACACTTTTAAAATAATCATATTTTACTAGAAATGGTAATAAAATTGCCGTTCCAATTACTATTTGTGGGAATTTTTACCTCCAAAAAAAAACGTAAAGCTTTTTAATTGAAATTTTAATAGAGAATATTTTTCATAAACCAAATGTCTTAAAATGGAAAACAACTAATGACCTTTTTAACAAGCTAATTTAATTTTAAATTTTTTTGATTCGTGTAAAGGCGCAGAATTAAACAATTTTATTTGATAGATCGTTCAAAATATGTGATCGAATAGTTCAAAATATGTTGGATTAAGTAGTTGGTTACCTCCCTGAAATAATGTTGCGTTAAGTAGTAGTTCCATTATTCTTTTTTAAATAGCGGATCAAATTTAACCACTGCATGAAATTGGTAGCTACCGATCCATAAAAATTGATAACTTAACTTTACTGTGCTTAACATCAATATAAATTTTTCTACATAATCTAAATATTTATTTATACTATTTCCACCAAATTTTTTTTAACTGATATAGACTGATAAATTGAATTCTGCGTTTAAGTCCTTTTTTTTTTGAGGATCAAAATAATTTAAATAGAAATTACATGGTACGAAAGTGTGTGAAATCGAGATGTATAATAGATATGGAAAATCGTGATATTTATTTTCTTAAATACAAATTGACGAAGCAGAAAAATTTTATGTCACAGTGTGGCAATCACTTTCATATGTATGAACATACATGTGTAGTTTTAATTTAATATACATATTCATTACTCACCAGCTATTTGGTCTTCAGTATAATTCCCCTGTAAAACAAATTTTTCCATGAATATAAGTTAATTATAAAAATTATGTCAATGTTACCATTTGAAAATGCAAAATTTTATGTCTTATATTTTAATACAAAGTAATACAATATTATTTTCGCTTTTTTTTAAGAACAGCTTACAATTTACTTTTTTAAAATGTATTACTTAATTTTGTTCTTTGGATTTCATATTGACGTTTTGTTATAGGTTGACAAAATAATTTTCAAGAAAATAAATTCATTGCTGCCAACTTGATTATTTTAAAAGTCATAAATTTTGAAAGACTATTTTAAGTTCGATGGAATATTTCTATATCTTTTTACAGTGCTGCCGCCACAGAAAATAAGAGACACTACATTATTTCTGAAAGTTCTCTATAGGCATATAAATTTTAAAAGAGAAAATTGCAAGAATCTAAGAAACTCATGATCATTACCCACAAAAACACAATTCAGCATATGAAAATCCAATGAGCTGAATGATATTTTTAAGGAAAGAGATCGTGAACCTGAAACATTAGACAAAAAAGTGACTTTGAAAATTAGTATAGCATTAATTGTCATTTACTTTTTCGAAGTGCCAAATTATTGGTTATAGTGACGTATTAGTTTGGAAACCCTTTTTTTAATATAAATACTTGACAACAAATAGCGCTGAGCGTTGAACGTCATATTGGAAAAAAACTTATTGGATTATAGAATGAAAGTTTACTGGGTTTACTTACGTTGACTATAATCTTGTTTGAATTCGGTGCGCGCTTTTCTTTTTTGAATCAGATTCAGACTTAGATTAGATATGTAAATCAAGATAATTTTGAAAATTGTATTTCTAATTCGTATAACGAAATAGATTAAATATATATAGACAAAATAAGCACCAGTATGCACTAACAACTAAAAAGTATTTTGATATATTTTTGCTCCAGTGTAGAGGTCTTCAAATTTTTTATATGATTTAATTTATTCAACATGCTTTTTTATATTTTACACATGTTTAAGAAGGTACATAATAAGAGAGACATTTATCATGATTGTGAACAGGTAAATTAAGTCCGTAAATATTCTAGATTATAAATTTCACCAGAATTATAAAACGTAAAACAAATATATGTGGTTCCACTTAATTTAAGACAGAAAAATTTGGAAAACCTGCCAAATTGGTTCGTCTTTATAACCATTTAGAAGAAAACAGAAAGAAAAATTTAAGCTGAGCAAGGGCGCTTAACAAATTGTTCAAGAAGAAGAGGGAAATCATATATGAAATATTAATATGGAAAGAAGAATAAGATTACGTACTTTAAACACTCATATAACTTGCAAAATATGTGGAGGCTACTTCATTGATGCAACCACAGTCACTGAATGTTTACATACATGTAAGTCTCGAGAGTATTTAATTTTATATATCGGGAATTTGAATTGAATATTTTTCAAAACAAAGTTTTTATTGAAAAAATTAAACACACAACATAATTTTAGTTTGCAAAAGTTGTTTAGTAAAACACTTGGAAGAAAAGAAAACTTGTCCGACATGCGAGAATGTTATTCATCAGTCACATCCATTGCAATATATAAGTTTTTGTATTAAGTATATAAACTAGTACCGAATCTGCAAGAAAGTGCGTTGATATATTTTGCATTTTAATATGAACTTTTTGAAAAGAAATATTTCTTTTTAGATGAAATGAAGAGGGAAAGAGATTTTTATAGAAGTCGTAATATAGCTTGTCCAAAAGATTTACTACAGAATCATGAAGATGATGATGACAAGGTTAATGAAGCACATGCTGAATCCGGCTATCATAGTTTAGATGAGCTAGTTAATGTTTGTTTAGAGTGTAGTAGTAACAATTTAAAAAATTTGCAATGAAGGTTTTCTAGGTGTAGTTCTCAATCAACTATCACTCATTTAAAGAAATTTTTAGCAAAAAAAAGTTTTAAATGGAATAGAAAAATATAGAGAGGTATAAATCTTTTTCAATATCAAAATAGGCATAACAAATCTCAATGACCAATGATTTGAGACCTTGAAAACGTGAAAGTATGTGAATTAAAATTAGCACTTTGTGCAGAAAATCGCGAATATATATATGTACGCATTTAAATTTATTGTCAAGTTTTATTTTAGTTAAAATAAATTTAAGGGCTCTTTGAAAATTAATATAATTGAGAATTGACATATTCTGTTTTGCCTAATATTTTGAAATATTTGTGAAATTTCAAATAATTATTTATTTTTTAGATTGATATTTTATGCAATGAAGAACTTTTGGGTAAAAATCATACATTAAAATTTGTATATGTTACCCGACGGCGTTTTTTAAATTGTTTTTAAAAATAAATATAGTGATCAATATAATGTATAACTCAGAATATTAAGGCAAAATAATATAAGTTTAAGATATATTCATGTATATTAATGAATTTAATGTACAAAGTGGTCCGTAACTGGTGTTAAAGCATTCGTGGGGTGATTCCTCAGATACTCGTGTTTTAATCAATTATTTTTGTACCAATAGTAGCATTTTAAATTAAGTTTTTTAATAATCACTTGAAAATAAAAAAAATTACATTAATTTCGTTTAGTTTTACAATTTATATTTTATAATATTAAACATAAAGCTTAAAAAAACAAAATTTTTATTTGCAAATAATAATGTTTTCATTTTGAAAAATAAAAATGCAAATTTTTTGAATGATGAAACGGGTTAGTACGTTTCCAATTTTTATATCTTTCAAAATGTGAGTAATTTAAGGAAGATTTTTTTCGTGCTTTCGTTCTAATTTTGGAATTTTAATTTTTTATATTATTTTGCCAATTTTTTCGAAAACTTTACTTGTTTTTTTTTAGTATAATTATTATAAAACCAATCCATATGTATTTTATTTGAATCTAACAGACTATGTTTGTGCTTGGATTCTATGATTCTTACAATTTATTATACTTTGCTTTTTTATTGACAGCTACATAAACATAAATTACTTTGTGTGCATTTATTTTGTGGTCGTTTATACCTCACTAAAAAATATGGGAAAATATTAATAAAAAGTTAGAATACGTACACATACATAAGTGTGAATGTAATAAAGGCATTAAAATTGTAAAACTTACATATTTTAAAAGCTTTTTAAGTATGAAATCCCTTTTGTTTTTTAAAATGGATATTTTGCAAATAAAATACATATGTACGTGTCTAATTTATAGCTTAAATTTGTTGGTCATTTAGTGAATATGTAGATAAACACATACATATACACTAAACGATCAGTAAAATAAAATTTGAAGAAAAAAAATCAATATGAAATGTGTTTAACACATACATTTGGTTTGACACGAAACCGCGCAAATATAAACATGTTGCAAATAAAATTATTAGAACATGTTTATAATTTGTTGACAGAAGATTTAGTATGTCAAAATTTTTTTTATTTTAGTGTTCAGTTTGGACACATATTGTAAAGTAAAAATCGGAGTTTTAGCAAAAAACTTCCGAAATCGTCCAATTATATATGAAAACGTTAAAAAATATCGCCCAAATTATTAAGCTAATTAAACTCAAAACACTAATTTTATAGTTGGTATTCATTATGACATAAATTCTCCGGTCTGAATATAAATACTTGACAACAGATAGCGCTGAACGTCATACTGGAAAAAAACTTATTGGATTATAGTATGAAAGTTTACTGGGTTTACTTACGTTGAAAGTTTACTGGGAACTTTTTGAAAAGAAATATTTCTTTTTAGATGAAATGAAGAGGGAAAGAGATTTTTATAGAAGTCGTAATATAGCTTGTCCAAAAGATTTACTACAGAATCATGAAGATGATGATGACAAGGTTAATGAAGCACATGCTGAATCCGGCTATCATAGTTTAGATGAGCTAGTTAATGTTTGTTTAGAGTGTAGTAGTAACAATTTAAAAAATTTGCAATGAAGGTTTTCTAGGTGTAGTTCTCAATCAACTATCACTCATTTAAAGAAATTTTTAGCAAAAAAAAGTTTTAAATGGAATAGAAAAATATAGAGAGGTATAAATCTTTTTCAATATCAAAATAGGCATAACAAATCTCAATGACCAATGATTTGAGACCTTGAAAACGTGAAAGTATGTGAATTAAAATTAGCACTTTGTGCAGAAAATCGCGAATATATATATGTACGCATTTAAATTTATTGTCAAGTTTTATTTTAGTTAAAATAAATTTAAGGGCTCTTTGAAAATTAATATAATTGAGAATTGACATATTCTGTTTTGCCTAATATTTTGAAATATTTGTGAAATTTCAAATAATTATTTATTTTTTAGATTGATATTTTATGCAATGAAGAACTTTTGGGTAAAAATCATACATTAAAATTTGTATATGTTACCCGACGGCGTTTTTTAAATTGTTTTTAAAAATAAATATAGTGATCAATATAATGTATAACTCAGAATATTAAGGCAAAATAATATAAGTTTAAGATATATTCATGTATATTAATGAATTTAATGTACAAAGTGGTCCGTAACTGGTGTTAAAGCATTCGTGGGGTGATTCCTCAGATACTCGTGTTTTAATCAATTATTTTTGTACCAATAGTAGCATTTTAAATTAAGTTTTTTAATAATCACTTGAAAATAAAAAAAATTACATTAATTTCGTTTAGTTTTACAATTTATATTTTATAATATTAAACATAAAGCTTAAAAAAACAAAATTTTTATTTGCAAATAATAATGTTTTCATTTTGAAAAATAAAAATGCAAATTTTTTGAATGATGAAACGGGTTAGTACGTTTCCAATTTTTATATCTTTCAAAATGTGAGTAATTTAAGGAAGATTTTTTTCGTGCTTTCGTTCTAATTTTGGAATTTTAATTTTTTATATTATTTTGCCAATTTTTTCGAAAACTTTACTTGTTTTTTTTTAGTATAATTATTATAAAACCAATCCATATGTATTTTATTTGAATCTAACAGACTATGTTTGTGCTTGGATTCTATGATTCTTACAATTTATTATACTTTGCTTTTTTATTGACAGCTACATAAACATAAATTACTTTGTGTGCATTTATTTTGTGGTCGTTTATACCTCACTAAAAAATATGGGAAAATATTAATAAAAAGTTAGAATACGTACACATACATAAGTGTGAATGTAATAAAGGCATTAAAATTGTAAAACTTACATATTTTAAAAGCTTTTTAAGTATGAAATCCCTTTTGTT